GCAGAGAGGACAGGAATGACTCCGCATGTGTGGGCAGAAATACAGCCATTGGCTTGAGTGTGCGCATCATCACCTCCCAGAAGATGGAGTGCTTGCTGATGGAAGACTGCCCACGAGTCTTCTCTAAATTAGCATCTGCCCAGGGATGCAAGAGCTTGGCAGAGCCTCTGACCTCCCTCCAGGTACAAAGATGACTTCTTGAAAATTGAGGGGTAGGCTAATATATGCATTCATTAGCTTGGGGTTTCTGGGGCCTCAGTGAGGCATGCCATGGAGATGACTTCTTGGAGAAGTTTGACTGTGAAGTCGGATAGAAGATGTAGCTTTGAAGGGTTGTAGTATAGAGCATAAAGGGGTCTTTGGTTAACGTGGGGACCCCTAGTTTTGCTCCGACCCTGTATTTCTTGCTGCGTATGCAAGGTTGGGTCTACAAGATGTCCTAGAGCCTGCAGAAGGAGGTGGCTCTTCAGCATCCTCTGTCCTAGACATCAGCAAGCTGCTGCATGAACAGCCACTCCAAGACCTCGCCCTTTCCGGTGCCCTTTCCAGGTTCGAAGACTTCCTGGCTCGCAAGTGGTCCTCAGAGAAGCGGTTTGGCCTCGAGGGCTGTGAGGTCATGATTCCTGCCCTCAAGACGATCATAGATAAATCCAGTGAGATGGGCATTGAGAACGTCATCCTGGGGATGCCTCACAGGTGGGCCCTACTCCCTTCCCATCTCCCAGTTTGCTCATTCATTCTCCAGGCCCACAGGGCAGAGGCATGAGAGGTGATGCAAACTAGAGGAGGGAGCATGGTGGGACCAAGGGGTGGTAAGGAGTGACGGGGAAAATTCTGAGTCCCTGAGCCTGCTCATCACAAAAAGGGCTTGCATGTGGCCAGTGCCACAGATCCAAGGATAATTGGGTTCTCAGACTATGCCTTCTCCCACCGTGTTTCCACCACCCCCAGAAAGAACAATTTCAGAAAGGGGATTTTGATGCTGCTTGGGGTTCCAACAGGTAAGAAGATGTGTGAAGGGGCAGGTGGTCTAGAGTTGAGTCCAAGAATCTTTTTTCCCTGTAAATGTGCCCACAAGATAAACTGGAATCACGGCAAGGACTTGAAAAGCTCTCTGCTTAGAGCTGGAGCCTAAGGGCTAACAGGGAATGAGCCCCAGGATGCTTGAGACCATGGTAGTCAGAGTCCTGCTGGCTGGGGCATGTCAGGACATGATGATAGGCTTTTTGGTGGCAGAGCTTCGTGATACCGAGGTAGAGACTTGGCAACTAATTGTGGGTAGGGGCCACATTGACATGAGGGGACTCATGTCTGAGGTGCTGAGAGTCCCCATCCTGCAGACTAGGCCACCAGGAGAATAGGATTCTATCTGTCAGGATCATTGCTCAGGGGGCCCAGAAACACTTGGTTTCTGGTCAGAAGGGTCAGCAGAGCTAGTCTGGGTGTCTGGGGCAAAATAGACTCACATGGTTTCAGGTTTGGGGGAGGGAAATTGTTCTGCCGTTTGGGGACAGAACCAGGACCTGTGCACTGACCCCTGGTCAGGCTTTCAGCCGGAAGAAGGTTCTGGGAGGACAAGGCCAGGCCAGTTCTAGGATAGGGGAGATGACTTGGTGGCTGGGGGCTTGCCCCAAAGGGAATGAGTTGTGTGTAGGACTTCAGGTAGCCCCCAAGCTTTGTTTCCGCAGAATAGGAGTAAGGTTCTACTTATGAG